GGAACAGAGGAAAATCTGGCAGGGAAAACAGCAATTCCCATAGTTCCGCTTCCAGCATTCCTGCAGTAGCAAGTTGTGAACTCCACGGGGCGTGGGTGGCTCTGCCCTCATGGCACTGCCAGTGACTGTTGCTCCCATGGCTCCCTCGCTGCAGTTTTCCTCAGCCAATCCATGCTCCTGGCTTCTCCAAACTTCTGGGGTTTCCACTGCACCTTCGGCTTCACACTTAGAGCTTCACACTCTGCCCTCTCAGGGGCGCCCTGCCCGGCCTCCCAGGTTTTCTTTTGAAATCTGGGTGGAAGCCTTCCTGACCCCACAACTTTTGCATTCTTCATGCACCTAAAACCAGTGCCATGTAGGTGATGCCAAAGTCCGCCGCCAGCTGGACCAGTGGCCAGGCTTCCTTCTCTCTCAGCTGTAGGAGTTGAGTGCCTGTGAATCAAAGAACAACTTCCCTAGGTCACTGCTATTCTGGAACATGGTGCTCTGGGGCTCTCTTCTCAAACCAAACATCTTTCACTTTTGCAACTCTGAGGCTGCAAGAAGTGGAGTCCTGCTGTTTCCTGTGATGTCCTCAGCCATCTTTTCTAGTTTCCTCTTCCTTCTTAGCAGTGAAGTTCTCCTCTCCTTTATCTTTGCAGTCCAGTATTACGGGCATTTCCTTTCTGGCCAAACTGAAAATGGTTTAAATCATTCTGCTGGGCTCTGTGCTCTTGATTCTCAACACAGACCTGGCTTTCAGGTCTATGGCTACTCCAAGAGTAGCCACGCCACTGCCTCAACATTAGTCTGCCTTGGAATTTCTTCTGCAAGATTAATTAGTCCACCACCCTAAATCTCAGTGAAGACTCAAATGCAGACAAACTTCCTGCCAAGGCCTAACACATATGTTCTAGTGTCCAAGATCCAGTGCAGTCAGTCTCTTTCTTTCCAGCAGAAATCTACTGAGCCCGGTCCGTACTAGCAGCATTTCTAGAAGCATTATGGTCCTCTGAGCTCTGACCAGAATCTCCCATCAAACACAGCCTCAGGTTCCAGGGCTGCTTTTTCAACCTGTGTCTCTGAACCTTTCTTAAGTGTTCCCAACAAGCCATTCCCAAAGGCTCCTGAGCCACATGGTCGGGTCCAGTCACAGCAATGACCTCACTTCTCTGTTACCAAATTCTGTATTAGTTACTCATCACTGCTGAGACAAAACTTACACCCAAAGTTAAGGGAGGATAGCTTACAGTTTGTAGAGGTTTCAGTTCTTGGCTGGCTCCAAGGCAGGGTGGCACGGCAGGGTGGCATCACAGAGGGGAAGCAGCTCACAGCCGACAGAAGGCCAATGTCCAAGTGACCTTAGCAGCTTCTTTCTGCCCCTTTTATATTCTGTCTGGGCTACCGGGCTCAGGCTACCAGGGCACCAGGGGGCTGATTTATAATAGCCCATCCTCAATCCTAGCATGGCACCATGCATCAGTCACACTCTAGAGGCAGCCACCTCTGAAAAGCCCCACCTATGACGCGTGAGGGAGGGACAGCTAGACACAGCAGTCACAGTGGACTGTCTTAAGGGGCCCTGGGCTTTAAAGTGCGCTTGCACAGTGGGGTGTCCGAACACTTCCTAACAGTCACTTGGGAGAGGTTTCCCAGTCTGCTCATTGAAAGCACACAGTGCCGTGTTGTTGCTTGTTGTTTACTCAAGTTGTGCAATCAACACCTCCAGCTAGTTTCTGGGCACCCCTGCAGAAGCCTTCTGCCCACTGGCAGTGGCTCCCACTCCTGTTCCACTCTGCTCTCCCAGAGCCTGGCAGCTGGACCCCTCAGTCTGCCCAGAGGGCCCTAGCTCGATGTGTCCTGCACCCCGTGTCTTCAGCCCTGTAGTTCTTCCCTTGTGCTCTTTACTGGACTTTCTGGTCAGCCGGTGGGGTCGACAGGCACAGTCATCTCCAGAGTTAGCAGGCTGGGGCCAGGAGGCCGGGCAGCTTTCCCAGGACCATGTGCCCTAGTGAGGGGACAGTGTAATCCAGATGTGGTCTCCTTCCCCCAGACCCAAGCTTAGTTCTGTTCTCCAAGTGCAAACATCACAGGCTTTGAGTCTGGATTGGCTGCTCAAGAAAGAGCAGCACCTGGCAGCAGCCCCAGCTAGCGCACAGGCTCCTCGGTGTAGTGTGAACGAGGCTGCTATCCCCTGGAGGCTGAGGGAGGCCCGCCTGGGGAGGCTGCAGGTGCACGGGCCCTGGGGGCACCAGGGGGATAGGACGGCTGGGGGGTGGTTGGGAGGCAGGGTGAGTACACAGGGGAGAACAGCGGGTCTTGTGCCCTTCTTGGCATTTCCTTCTCAGGCAACGTGGCAGTGCAGGGGCCCCACTGGCAGCACTTGATGTTGCTGTCGCTGGAGAAGCTAGGCTGGCCACACCGGCTGCAGGCAGAACCGTGTCTGCCCAGTGCAAGAGTGAGGGCTGGGTGCTGCGTGAGCAAGAAGTCAGGAGCCACCACCCTCTGGAGCCCCTCTGGAGCCTGACTTCACAAGTGTGGGCTCCATATCCCTCCCGGCCTGCAACCTCCTGACAAATGTCCCTCTTTCAGAGGCCTTGGTCTCTGGCCTTGCTCTTCTCCCCTCCAAGTCACCCTTTTAGAAGGTGTGGCTGAGCAATACACTCCTTTATCTCCTGCACCCTGGACTCCCCTTTTGCGTTGACAGCTGCTTGGCTGTCGCCCTGCTCAGGCTCCTGAGGAATCAGCACACTGCCAACCCCCCTCCCACATCCCTGCTCTGCCTCCCCCTGGGCCTCGCCTGGGAACAGCACCCCTGCCTCATGGAGCACAGCTGCTCAGACAGACCCTCGCCGTTACCATCTTCACTCCTTTCCTTTCTCTCCTCGCCCTCTGCCCCATGTGACCCGGCTCTCCCCTGACCTTGAGCATAATCTCTAGGCAGTCTCTGGAGCTCCCACCTGCCCCCAACTCAACGGCTTGGAAGTGGTGTGCGTCATCCCCCATGGTTTGTACGTTGGAAGTTTGGTTCCCTGGAGGTTGTCACGGCACCTCCGGCCCAGTCTGGCTTCTTGTCTGGCAGTGTCCTCTCCCACACTGTCACCATGATGCTGCCCGCCACGAGGTACACAGCCAGGAGACCCTCACCAGAGTCTGCACCGTGTTGCTCTTCAGGCTCCAAAACCATGCACTAAAAAAACTGCTCTATTAAAAGTGCCCATCCTCAGATATCTCACTACAGTGATGGACAAGGGATAACACAAGTCCTGGCTCAAGTTCAGTAAGAGGAATCACTTTGCTCTACATATCTACCACCTCCTCACACTCAGGAATCCCAGTGCCCTCTTTTTTCCTGAGACCTTCCTGATGCAGCTCTCTCCTGAGCCTTCTCCCCTTGCTCTAATATTTCCTGCAATAGTAATTAACAACAGCAGTCACAATGATAGCAGCTCACATGCATTAAGTATCTAATATTCTGTGTATCACACTAACTAAACTTCCAGTAATGATATCAGGCAGATCCTAAGAGGATCCCATTACACACCTGGGTGAAGTTCAGTGTCTAGAAACTGTGGACCCCAGATCCTGCCATCCTCAGTGCTATGAGGTCACTAAAGCAGTGGCTTCCTGAAGTTCTGTGAAGGTAAGACTGAGAGCTGCTGCCGTGGGTTCAGTCCTTCCCAGAGTCCATCCAAGCCACACAGGCAACGAACACATGGGAATCCTGGGAGCTCGTGGACACTGCGCCCCTAGGGATGGGGGGCATGAAAAGGGAAAAAAGCCCACGAGTTGCTGTGTGCATGAGGGGCTATGTGCATGAATTACTCAGGTAACAGCCAACAGGTCCTGGAGGAATCAGGTGAGGAGTAGACAGGAAGAAATCCACGCAGACAGGTTATAGGGGGTAGGCAAGTGTCTATGCCCAACTCTATGGCTTCAGGTGTCACCAGCATCGCTGTGCAATCTTCCCCTGGCTCTGCCAGTGTCCCTGGGTGCTGGGCACAGGCAGCAATGCTGGGCTCATCAGCAAATCGGGGATGCAGACTGACACTAACACTCCATAAATGGAGTCCCTGCTGTGCAGGGAGGAGGCCACTCTGCACCTGGCCACTAGGGAGTCGCCCATGTCCCCTGTGAGCCCTCACTCAGGAGCTGGATGCCCCGGGGAAGAAGCCCTCGTCCTCCAGGCCACCACACCAAGCCTGCCGAGCTGGTTGACACGGCACAGCAGAGTGGGTCAGGCCTATGTCTCCTGAGTCCTCAGCACCTGCCACACCCTCTGGAGCCCACTCTACGCAGCTCCCACCTGAGCTCAGCAAGCCCAGCCTGACACACTCGTCTCTCTCCCACGTATCCACCCACACCAGCTGACTCCATTTACAAGCATTAACACTGTTGTTAGGGAAATTTCCAAGCAGTCAAGAAACCACGAAGCATATATAATGAACCCCCAGGTCCCCCAACCAGCTTCGGTCAGGACCACGGTACCAATGGGTGGCCGGTCCTGGTCTGTCTGTCTGCCCTTGCGGTCTTTCCATTTTGGACAAAGGACAGGGACTGGACTATTGAACATAACACACACATACACACTCACACTCGTAGGACTATTTTCTTGGTGTGTGTAGGGGTGTTATCTCTTTTCTCCTAAATAGAAGGAAATAAACATGAAAATGAGAATTTTTGTCTGTTTCACTGCTGTACTTACTACATCCAGGGCACTGAGCAGAGCCCAGCAGTAAGTGCTCAACTGAACCCTTGCTCGACAACGAAGCGAAGGAAGGAGGGGGTGAACTCCTGCCCTGGCCCCTGCCGGGCCCTTCTCGGGGCCGCCTGCTAGAAGGGAGACATAGCTGCTCCTCATCAGGGTGCCACTGCCAGAGTCCCACAGTGACAGGGTCTTAGGAACTCACACTGGCAGCACGAGGGCACAGGTGAGGATATCCCCTGTGGCAAAGAATATGCAATACATATTTTATAACTGTGTGTGCATGACAGTCAAGCACAGGTCACATGATACTCACATGCAACCACGAAACCGAGTTAAGTCATTGTTTGGCTTCTCACACTCGATCACGCTGGTGAACGTCAGAGGGTTGAATTCAGAGACCTAAAATAATAACGTGTATACATTAGAGAAATGGAGACTAAGGCTGTGCCATTCTAAGAGGCATGTGTTTCTTCGTCTCTCATCTATTGCGAGGAAATTTCAGGGATGGATTCTGCCTATGGGTATCTGCAGAATGTGAATGCACACAGCACTTTCTCATCTTTATAATGAGTAACAGCTAATCCCTCTATAATGGATGGCAATTATTAAATGAGTATGAGTTAGTGAGTGAGCTGGAGCGATTGTAGCTTGAATGCAAAATAAGAAAATGTGAGCTAACAGCAAAGGAAGCAATCAGTGATAGAAAGGGATGAAGGAGTTTATTTTATTTTTTTGAGATAGATCAGCTCCTTCTAATTTTCCACATAGACTTAGAGAAGCAAATTCCATCTGAAAAGCAGGACTGTGTACACTAAAAATTCTTCATAGATCTTTGCTGAGAAACATTTAAAGGCCAATGTGTGATCCAATGACTTCCTATTATCCTGCTCTGCCAACAGCTCCCTGGAGAGAGGCTCTTTAATATGGAGCTTTCCCACTGCTGGTGCGACAGTGCCCAGCCCAGGTGGAGAGGGCAGAAGTGGAGGAGGAGGAGAAGAGGAACACAGGGAACCAGCCTTCATACAAAAACCTGAGTGCAGTTAGTGGAGTCCTCCAGGTAACTCGAAACGCCACCTCACTGGTTTTCCAGTATACCCCACACACTAATACAAGGGCACTCTAGACAACAGTAGAGCAGTAAATGAAACTGCAATGCTGTCTTGTAGTTCTGGAGACTGAACTCAAGGCAGCCCCACATATGCCAGCAAGGGCTCTGCCAATGGGCCACGAAATGCTACTCTCAAACACGGTCCTGCAAGTTCCTTAGCCACGAGTCCCTCCCCTTGGACTCAACTGGCCTTGCCCTGTCCTTGCAAAATGAGGCGGTTTCAGAATCCCACGTCTGTTTAAAGCTTCATGGATGATCTGGAAGGCAGCAGCTGCTTTTTCCAGGGCAGACATTTGCTGATACACAGTACAAGAAGGCCATGAAGGGCGCGGGTTCCTGGGAACACCGAGATTGTTCTTGGCAGAAAGGAGGGTAGGACTTAAAATATTCTGCCTGTTTGTTATTCTTTCTAAGAAAAATGTACACGGCTCAGCAACACTAGGACATTCTGTCTTGGGGGCTGCCAGCTGCACTGGGAAAGCCCCACCACAATCGTGTGCTCCAGGGAAGAGTGTGCCTGGCTTCGCTCGCTTTGTCTGGAGCCAGGGAGGATCTGGAGGACGTCTGGTTCTGGAGAGATCACCAGGGACTTGTACGGGCTGCATTGCGCTACCCACACCCCCAGAATCCACAAGTTGAAGTTCTACCCTCCAGCGCCTCACGATGTGTCCATCTTTAGAGACAGGGCCTTCACAGACGTTAAGCTGCCTACGATGAGGTCATGACTGTGGTCCTAACCCAAGAGGACAGACGGCACTTGGAGTAAGCACTGAACAGTACACAGACACACACAAGGGGGCAGCTGAGGACACGTCCTGTAGCCCAGGAGGGAGGCCTCCAAAGAAGGAACCCTGCAGGCACTCTGACGTAGACTTCAGCTTCTGGAGCCATGAGAAAATCACTCCTGTTGCCCAAGTCCCCAGTCTGTGCAGCCCTGACACTACCCGGCAACTATTTTCTGAGTTTGCTATTTTAAAAGCCCTTTCCTCCGAAGCACAGTGTCAGATGGAGGACATTCTGCTTGTGTCCATGGTTTCTCACACACAGCAGGTGAAATGGTTGTGCTCCTCACTTAGGAAATGCACTGCTTTGTCCCTTCACCCACCGCCTATCCACCTGCTGCATCGCAGACTAGCCACGAGCTCAGCCCTGGGACGGAGCAGCCAGACTTCCACAACGCTCCTCCCTTCCCTGGGCCCCGGATCTCAGACCTCCCCTCTGTCCTGCGCACAGACTTCATTCTAACAAAAGTACGTGTACCGTTGGCTGGTGACAAATGTGGGCTTCATGCTACTGAACCACACACTCGGAAAGGCACAGAATGGCAAGTGTATGGCCACGGCCAGAGAACTCGGAGAGAGGAGACACGAATGAAGCACTGAGGACCGATGGTGCTGAAAGAATCCATCATCGAGGAGGACACGGCCCGGGTATCCGGGACAAGTCCAGAAAGTCTCGCCCTTGGTCCTCCTGCTACGGTGGGGTCTGAGACCAGGGCTTCGCACACGCACGCTAAGCACCAGCTCTGCCGCTACGCTGCCCACCGGCCCGCGGAAGTCAATCTCAAGGCCTCCCCGGCACCGTGGACACAGCCAGGAGTCTTGCGTCTGCAGCGGCTGAGCGCCCGCTGCGGTGCAGGGTGCCGCACTTCCTCCTGCCGCACAGTGAGGAGGCCGATTCTGAGCTCCTCGAACTGCGGGTCACAAAGAGCCAAGACCAAAGGCGCAGTGGCCCGGCAGTAGCTGGCAGGAGCTTCTCTGGCCTCTCTGCCCTCTCGCGTAGCCCCGGACACTCACGGCGATGATGCAGGAAAGACCGAGGCGCGTCCAGTCAGCGGGACAGAGCGCAGCAGGCCCCGGGCAGACTTTCAACGAGGCTAAACGTGTGTTTCAGACAGCACATTTTGGGTGAATGCGCCCTGGTTTGACTGTCTATGTCTTCGTCCCAGAGTCAGCAAAACCTGAGGTCTGGGGCTGGCAAGGCTCCACCCCAACATGGAACAGGATGTCAAGCAGGCGTGGATTTCATCCCGGTTCCAATTACTAAACATGAGGGCCTCTGCACACCCTGATGCCCCGCTCTCCAGCACCCCGGGGTAGGACTCCCCTGACGGCTGCTCTCACCCCGGCTTCGGCCCACACGCGCCTCAGCCACAGCTCATTGGCAGCAGGACGCAGCTGTGCTCGCAGAGTGGGTCCACGCAGGCACATGGCCCCCGGCCCAACACGCTCAGTTTTGCCGTTTTCCTTCAAGTACTCTGGAAGCGTCTCTGCTGGAACGATGTGGGTTGGCCTTATCAGGAGGAGGAGGAAAGGTGCTGTGGCCATGCAGCACCCTAGGCCCTGTGACTACAGAATCGGTAGCAGCACAGTGAGCTTCGTCACCAAAAGAGGTGATGCTGCAGAACGTCAGAGCCCCACAAAAACTTTCTCCTGAGGTCTGAGTCACAGCCAGGCTAACAGGTATCTGCGTGATTGCTGCAGCGTCCTGAGACCATGTGAGGAGTCACATGTGTAAGTCAGCAGTGCCTGGATTGTTAGTAGAGTGACTGTTAGATTCACAGGGAAGATGCTGTTACACACCTTGGAGCATAGGACTCCATCCCCAGGCCTCAGAAACCACAAAATAAATCCTCAGATTCAGCCAACCAAATAGAAATAATAGTTGGATATGTACTGAAGACATACAGACTTTTTCTTGTTGTTATTCTCACCATGATACAGTGTAGTGTACATAAAGTGCGGCCAGGCACATCCCACTGTGCTGTCCTCCAGGGCTGCCACCCTTCCAGGGCCCCTCCTCACCTGGCACAGAGCTCCCCTGCCCTCACCTCTGCGTGCCCAGGATCATCCGTCCCAAGCAGCTGTCCAGACTACACCCCAGGTCAGGCAGGCAGGGCTGCTGCTCGGCGCTTGTGTGGCCCTGTGCAGATGTCCTGGCTTGAACCACGCTGCCTGTGGCCAGGGCCGGCCCTGTCCCTTCTTTAGTGGCACAGGTCCCCTGAGGACAGCTTCCTGGGGCCCAGCACAGTTTCTGCACGTGCCTGCAGTTGGGGGTGGTCAACACCTACGGCAGGGGCATCTCAGGTGACACAGGGGCTCCTGGGCCGGGACCACTGCTGGCCGCGCCCTGTCCAGCCAGGGCCCTCGCCTGACAGGGACTGCAGGGCTGCTCCGATGTCCTAGGAAGCACAGGCCTTTCACATGCGTGAGGCCTTTCACCTAACTCGGTGGCAGTATGGAAGGATTTCTGACAGCCGTGACTCTAGCTACTTATTTACCAACGACGGGTGAGAAATTCCTGAACTAATCCAGGCAAAGTATTTTAACCCACATTATCACGTAATTACTCCGACTCTTTTGTTTTGTACTTTAAATCCAATTTGTATTTACCATAAGCTGTGGAAATTCAAAAGAGCAGACAGCCCAACGCTGAACAAGTGAAAGGGTAAATGAAAGGACTGATGGTACTTGGTCCCTGGACAGAATTACCGTTAAATCAACATCTCCCATCTGTTCACCAGAAAAAGTGAAGAGTCTTGTCCACCGCCGCCTCTCCAGTGTGTGACCGGGGGTCAGCCCTGTTTACTGAAAAAATAAGAGCCATGGTATGTACTCTTGCGCTGGTAGCCAGGGACCTGCAATCACTCACAGACCTGCTGTTTGCACTCATGATTTCTGCCCCAATCGATATGGAACAGAAATAAATGTTCAGAAAACCCATTCAGCCAAGTTTATTCCACCGCATCAGTAGCTGGGCTCCCGTTCTGTAAGGTGTGGAATAGCCACGCACACATGGTCGGCACCACAGACAGCGCTGGGCCGCTGCACGTAATGGCGTGTGGGCAGTTTCTGTGCGTGTCAAACCCTTCCGACAGCATCGGTCTCCTGGTTCACAGCTCACAAGGCTGACCGGTGAGGATGACACCCAGACCTTTGTGGTCTTGTCTCGGAAACGACTTCACACAGGACCACACCTCGGGTGGCTTCTGGAAGGCTCAATACTCTGGGAGGCACAGACCCAAGGGTGCCTGCACTGCGGCCTTCTTTTTCTATCTACAAATTCTCCTGTCCTAAGAGCAAACATCAAGTGGTCTTTTCTTTGTTTGTGAACATGAAGCAGCTCTTCCCTTCTTTCGTCTGACGTGGAACCTGGGTGCCTTCTCCCTTTCTGGCCTTTTGCCCCTGCCTCATGCTGCTTCCCAGCCAAAAACCCTCAGAACTTTGCATGAAGACGGTGGCAAAATTCAAAGGCTCAGAGGGGCGCTGGGTTTGAGCCTGGATTCTCAAAA